GGGGGTACCGATACCCCCTCCCCGATAACATTATTTTCCCATGTATATGTATGTTGCTTCGTTGTCGATATAACGAGGGTGTCGAGGATCACCGAGGGGTCGAGGGTCGGGAACTAGGGTAGAGGGTCGAGGGTCGTTAAGGGGTCAAGGGTCGAAGGTTTCAGGGTCGAGGGTGTTAAGGGGTCAAGGGTCGAAGGTTTCAGGGTCGAGGGTCGTTAAGGGGTCAAGGGTCGAAGGCTCTCGACCCCTCAGCGATCCTCCCGACCCCTTGACCCTCGACCGCTCGGCGATCCACGACCCTCTACCCTACCGCGGGCGTCGATGCCCACGTCACTTGTGGGACATAGATGTAGTGTTCAACACCGACCCCCTCCCGATAGCTTCAACACGTGGGGGGGTCGATATTACCCCCTCCTAGATTGAAGCGTTCTCGAGGCCACCCCCTAACCCTTGAAGCATTGTCGAGGCCACCCCAAGCGAAAAGATCCCAAGGAGTATGCGGACATGACTGAAATGCTCGAGAAGTAAGTTAAATCGATCATTATCCACCATATCAGCAACTTTGTTCATTTCTGATATCAAGTAATTGTTTTTTTTTTGTATGGCAGGGCTTGGAGAAAATTCACCAAAAAAGCTCCGGGACTACCGAAGAAGCTGCAATTTAGGCACCTGAAAGTAAGTACTATATAGTAGCATATTTCAGGCATCTCCTAGTGATTCAAGCGCTAGTTTCATCAATACCATTTAGCATGCTTGCTAATTATCAGTTTGATTGACCTCTATTTCTTGTAAAGTGGTTGTGCAGGAACAAGGGAATGATTTCTGTGGATACTACATTTGCGAGTCCATCCGCCACACGACCTGTGAGCGGGGCTACTCCGACAAACAATATGAAGTGCGTAAATAACAATATTCACAATTTTTTTTTATTACCATCATTTGTGTTGAGTTTCATTCATTCATATATATATATATATATATATATATATATATATATATATATGTATTGACCCCCTTCTTAAAATTAGATGTTTCGGATGCGGGATGAACTCCTAGCACCAGATCGCATGCGAGCAATTCAAGAGGAATTGGCGGCATTCTTTCTTGACCACGTGATCGCTGAAGACGGAGAATACTATGTGGACCACGCGTCTGTATTTTAGGAGATTATATATTTGTAAAAGATAATTATTGTATATATGTAGCCGGTAGTGTCGGATAGATATACGAGAACTTGTTTGTTCGACCAATCTCTCGGAAAAGGAGAGGTGGTCGATATCACTTCTTTCTGTATGCATATATGTTCATGACGATCTTCTGTTTGCTTACTAGCTAGCTAGCGTGTCTAGCTAGTCCTCTCTATACGTATGTATGTATGGTACGTAGCGTCGACCAAGCACGGACAAAAGAAAGGACACTTCTCTCTATTAATTAGCTAGCTATAGCATAATATATGAAACACCTAAATTAACCCCCCAAAACCCCCCAACCCCCCCCCCCTTTAAAAAAAAACAAAAACCACAGCCACATAAACGCTGACGCGTGGATGCCTATTGGTCCCGGTTGGTGCCACCAACCGGGACCAAAGGCCCTCCTGCCTGGGCTCAGGGGACAGGCCACGTGGAGGCCCTTCTGTCCCGGTTCTGGATCGAACCGGGACTAAAGGGGTCAGGGCATTAGTACCGACCCTTTAGTCCCGGTTCATGAACCGGGACTAAAGGCCCTCACCAACCGGGACAATAGGCCCTTTTTCTACTAGTGATGAAACGTAGGACCCGCTGCAGATAGTTGCTCATTATATATGTTACTCTATACCAAAAGGTGAGTCTCTAGGATCGGCATGTCAACTCGCATTTTCTTGTGTTTGTTTTCTTAAAAGGTAAAAATCGCACTACTACCGGTTTTCTATATCTATTGTTCCAACATTTTGTGGATCCTTCCTGTCTGATTCCTTCGTTTTATCAATTCCCATGGTTTTTCTAATAACCTTTGATTAGAACGGGACCTTACTTAGTTTGAGATGTGTGTTGCAGTTGTAGTTCAAGGGTTTTACCCTATCATGGGGATAGTCTTGATCCATAAGCAGCAACACACACATAGATGGTTGTGGAGAGGGCAAGCAAGTAAGAACAAGTCCCGTTCTAGAAGCTTATATACAGAGAATGAATATCGTAAAAATAAAATCATTAGAGCGCCCTCTATTTCTATGGTGGATGCTAATTACTGCCGCTAAGTTGATGACTACACACAAAGTTTTACGGAAAGACTAACGCTCACACGTGTGGACGTCTGACAACTCGCCCACACGCATGGATCCTCGTCCAACCAATTTTGCACGAATCTTGGCGAACAGTTTTTGTGTGCCATGTAGGACTGGGCTGGTGTGTGGGCATTCATCTTGTCGCCCACACGTCCTTTTTCACCACATGGGGGGCTGGTGTGTGGGCGTTTAGCAATTCGCCCACACACCAATTTTCATGCATGTAGGGGGGCTGGTGTGTGGGCGTTTATCACTTCGCCCACACCCAAAGCTGTCAGTTGCCATGTGTTTCTGCAGGGTACATGGAAACTGCCCTAGCTTTGCTTGTAAGCAGATGGCAACTCTCTTTTACCCTAGTTGCCATGTGTTTTTGCATGATACATGGCAACTGCCCTAGCGTGCACGGAAGCAGATGGCAACTCTTTCTTTTACATGGCAACTGCCCTAGCGTGCTTGTGAGCACATGGCAACTCTCTCTTTTACCCGAACATATTTTTTTACCATGCCTTTTTAGTAGTGCTACATGGCAACTGCCTGGTGTTAGTAGGTGGTAGCTCCTAAAGTTTTGAAATCATGGCAACTGCAGTAGACCAGACCATACATGGCAACTGTCTAGTGTTAGTAGGTGGAAAATCCTAAAGTTTTGAAATCATGGCAACTGCAGTAGACCAGATCATACATGGCAACTGCAGTTGAGCAACCATGGCAACTGTAGTTGTCCGACATGGAAACTGTAGTTCAGCGACATGGCAACTGCAGTTAAACGGACATTGAAGAGGGTCCGGACCATGACAACTGTGGGAACGTTTGGTGACTGTCAGGCGGGGCGTGCGGGACCGTGAGGTAGGTGGCTGAGAGAGGTCGTGTGGGCGTTATCCATTTTGCCCACACGTAAATGTGTGAGAGGAACCGCGAGATAAAAAAGATGCGTGTGGGCGCTAGTTGTTTTGCCCACACGTAGGCATGTGGGCTGGTCTCCTTAAACACCACACAAAATGTGTGGCCAGATACCTTAACGCCCACAGTATGGGCGTTATTGCCGTCCAAGTTTTAATTGGTCCATGAATAACAGCCGAGAGCTCATCACTTATTTTTTGCATCATTCCACGCCCGACGTCGGAATTCTTTGGTCCAACTGCCTATAAACCAGGAAATTAACCCCACCACTCTCTTCAAGCGCTAGGGTTTCGTGTTGGCATTCCCCAAGATATATGTTGTGTTCACGGGTGAGCATGCCATCTATTCATGTCAAGAGAACCACCACACGTACGCCTGCATTAGCCACAGGCACCTAAGGCATGAGTCATTCACTCCAAGAAGTTGGGTGCTTACCTTCACTACCATGTCATTTGCGTCTATCTCCAGGAATGGCGTGATACGGTATGCCGAGTGGTTCTTGTCAAAGCTCGGGACTGAAATCAAATGAGTTACAATGTACTGCAGACAGCGACATACCCGAAGCCGTTCCTCATATGAGCCGAGCCCGTATGACCTCACAATGATGCGTTGGACCAAGTCAATCCGCTCAACTAAGCTACCTAGACGTATGACTCATAACTGTTTGATGAGGATACCCTACTACCGTTACACTCACAGGTCATGCAGCTACACCTGTCCAAATTCCAGAAATATAGGGACCGACCACTGGAGCTCACACACACCAACTAAATTATCAGGCATTTGCTTTTCTAGGAACTACTTCTAATATTCATGAAAATATGATGTTGCCTAGAGTAGATAGGTTTGTATTTCCTAGGAATGAAGGGCCAATCATGGACAAGAGGGACGAAGCATGGATATTGAGGCGATGAGCATGCAATGAATGACAACAAACCTTCAAGGAGAAATTTGAGAACTTTGAAGCCACCATAATTATGCATGAAGACATCATGGACGAAATATATAAAAGGAAGTTGCGCCCATGCAAGGTATCCAACCAGATTTTCAGGGACCTTTCACGCGTGAGCCGCCTAGGCCCGTGCCCATGCCTGAGCCCGGCCAGACAAGGAGAGCGAACGCGTGCGTGTGGTCTTCTATTTCGCTCCTTCGCACATCACTAAGTGTGATGTAGAAAGCCCACTATATAAAAAGATCTCACACCTCCTCAACTATCAGGATGAGACTAAACTGTAGAGCCATCACTTACTGTTTTCACATGGGCCACTTTTGATATTTCAAAATTTTTAATGGCCCAAGCCCATTTATTACTAACAAGATCTTGGGAACGGGTAGCATGCATAGGAAGTCTCTGGATCGGTTCGTCATGGTTTGCTCTTTGACCTTTCCTCGACACTATGTGTTGCCATGTGCAATCGTGAGCTCATATCTCTACTCCTAATGGAGCAGTTGATAGTCTCCGCCGGTCAATTTTCGTCCCACCAGAGACGGTTTTTTTCGTCCTCGATCCCACCTCCCGCATCCCATCAATTCCCCCCTCCGCCCTAGAACCACGAAAAAAATGGTAGGCTCCCGAGCGAGGCGATCAGAGCTAGGAAGGGAGCGAGCGCAGAACGAAAAAACCATGTGAAAAAAAACCTACGAAAAAAAATCGACGACTCGCACCACTAGCGAGCGAGGGGATCAGAGTGCCCTCGATCCCCATCCAGGATCCCTTCGCCGCCGCGCTCGCTCGCACATCAAGCGCCCTCGATCCCTGCACCGCTGAACCTTCGCCGTCGGCGATCCTGCAGGACACCTCTGCCAGTCGTGCCTTACCCTCCTCTGTGTGCTGGTGGTGGTGATGCAGTGCGTCATCGATCGCGAGATCGGCAAGCCCAAGTACCGCTGCGCTTGGGCCTGTGTCGACACGGCCGCGGACGGCGGCTGCAGGACGATCGAGTGCGGCCTCCAGTACTCCACGCAAGATCAGGTCGGCACCTGCCTATACCTGGCCATGGGAAGCCCGGCCCGGCCCGACCCGATGCTCCCCCCGGGCCAGGCTCGGGCCTAGATTTTGAGCCCGAAGGCCGGGCCGAGCCGGGCCCAGCCCGTCGTTTTTGCGTTTTTCTGAAGGTTGGGCCGGGCCGGCCCGGAGCCCAACAGGCTTTTACGTGTTCGGGCCGGACTTGGGCCCAGAAAACAGGCCCGTTGGCCGGGCCGGGCCGGGCTCAGGCCTGTATTTTTTGCGTCGGCCTTGGCTAGGCCCGGCCCGAGGTATGGCCAGGTATACACCTGCCCGATCCCCATCCGAGTCCAGGGCCGGCCATGCCGTCTGCGGCGACCGGCCATGCTTCAGCCTTCAGCTGCCCCGGCCTGAGTCTAGGGCCGTCAGGACCACCTCCCAGCCGTTCGACGGTTTACCTGACTCGGCTTCCAGCATGTATGTATGATCGGTCTTGCCCCGTTGCCTTCCTCTTCACCGGAGCTCCTGGCCTCGAACCGTCCCTGATATGGTGCTGATCTGGCAGCCAGCCACGCTCCGATGCTCTCCCACATTCTCTCCATCTTAGTTCATGCTCCCCTTACCTCTTCCCTCGATTCTTGAGGCCAGTCTTGCTGGACTTACGATTTGAACATACTTGTATCTTTGTTGTGCGGCAGGTAACTTGCGATTTGTCCCCGGCGACATCACCTGAATCGACCGTGCGGCTAGGCTCGCCTTTGTCCTCGCCGGCGTCACGGCCGAATGCCACATTGAGTCAACCTCCGGGTCCAGCGGCACAGGCTCCTTCCCGTTGCTACACCATTCCGCGGCCTAGGAGACCCAACTAGCAGGACCACACCTCGGCTGCTTTTGTCGTGCCTCAAGGAACCTGACAGTGTCGTCAGTATCAGGTTAGTTCCATTACACTCGGGTCACCGGAGGTTGTCGTGCTACTGTGCTCCTCTCTTGTTGTAGCGGTTAGCTGCGGCAGCTCACGGATCATCCTCCCATGAGGTTGTGGCTTTCTCAATTGATAAAAATAACATGACGCCACATAGTTCTTTTCTAGATATATATATATTCCTATTTCTGATGCTGTGTGGACCATCAGAAACCTGATGTGTGTGTGTGTGTGTGTGTGTGTGTGTGTGTGTGTGTGTGTGTGTGTGTGTGTCATGTAATATCTTGCCGTTTATGTATATTGCTTCCCTTTTATTCGTGTACTACTTCTCTAAAGGTAAGCCACTTCTTTTCTATTGTGGGCGTTATCTTTCGATGTTAATGGACTAAAAAGTCTAAAGCCTTTCCTTCTGCAAAATGATGATATTAGAGCTATGCGTCTTATAATCTCTACTATATATGACAATGTGATATTCAGTTATATTATGTTCGAAGCATGTCATTTTCCCTTCCTCTTTTTCGATGAATCACATGGTAAATTATGATGTACAATGACCGCTCTTGCAAAAAAATTGAAACTCAGAGAGGGGTTCGACAACAAGCAAGGTTTTAGGATCTGAATCTAAATGAACTCGTCTTCAGTCCAGTCCTAGCACAAACTGATCAGAGAAACAAAGAAGCAGCAACGCATGGGTTCCCTTCTTGCACACAAGAGTTGTCTTGTGCAAGTCATGAACCTTTTTGTCCATCACTGGATTTGAACATGTTAATTCTGAGCTTCTGTTCGGAGTTTATATTCTAGCTTTCATGCGAAGTAGTTACATTTATCGCATGGAAGACGATCCCCATAGAGTGGAAGGTGGGGAGATTCAGACTTTGGAGGATGTAAATATGCTCAAAGTTTTTCAATTAAGGTGAGCCTTGCAGAACTATCTTTTAATGTTTCCAGTTTATCCTAAAGTATTTTAGCCTAAATTTCCTGTCATTTAGATAAATATGGGTTATGCTAATCTGACTGGTAAGTTATGGTATTGTAGATTTGTAGCTACTGCACATGTCCCTCGATTTCCCAGTTCCATGTGTTAGGATGCTAATATGGGTGTTACTATATTGCCTTCCAGTTTATCCTAAAGTATTTTAGCCTAAATTTCTTGCCATTTAGATAGATGTGGGTTATGCTAATCTGACTGGTGGGTTATGCTAATCTGACTGGTAAGTATGGTATTGTAGCTACTGTACATGTCCCTCAATTTCCCAGTTCCATGTGTCAGGATGCTAATATGGGTGTTACTATATTGCCTTCCATTTTGTAATATGTTATGTTTGCAATTTCTCAGGGCTGCCGCCGCCGCCGTCCATAGCAACGCATAGGCTGCTTGCCCAGCTCCCTCATTCCGAGCACGACACCACGCGTCGGAGCTTGTTGGGAGGCACGGAATGACGAACAGAGTTCTACTGGTGATCCGCATTGTCGCTGGCGGTGTCATAGGATCTGCGGTGCACGTGGACAAGGCGATGGGGCCGCCAACCTACCTCCTCTTCACCACAGCGCGTGTGGATTCTTGGGCTACCTCAACTTGGATCAGCTTTTTCAAGAGGGGATCCTTGCCATTCAGAGGTAAATGGTGCTCTTGAATTTTGTTGTTGTTTGATTTGGCTTGCAGTTTCTACAAATGATGTGAGGCTTGGCTTTGTGTAGTACATCATCTGCTCCAGTCTAATTGCATGCATAACAATCACTTGATTTATGCGCTTCAACCTTCAAATAGTTTGTAATTTATAGAATTCACTACGGCACTTGTTCATTCATGTATATGTGGCAGGATCTGATGGAGAAGATAAAGACAACTAATACGCTGAAAATGATTTTACATCCTGGTTCGAAAAGTAAAAGGGAAATCTTCGAGTAAAGGTATGTTCTACTGCAAAGGAACTTCCCGAGGGATCCCATTGAAATTGAAAGTATGTTTCTTTTTTTATTCCTAGATTTTGAGCATCTTGAAGGTTCATCACTTGATTTTCACTACTACATCACGTTTTATGTTACAACCCGTTTGAAGAGGAATTTTAGAGATATCTTTCCCGCTTATATGGAAATTTTGCAGCAAGTGGATTCCATGGATGTCTTTGATGAGGTAATATGTTTGTTTTACTTGGTTCTTACTATTGAAAATCATTCTCCTATCATAAATAATAGTACTCCATCCGTAAAGAAATATAAGAGCGTTTAGGTCATTACTTTAGTGATCTAAACGCTCTTATATTTATTTACAGAGGGAGTATCTTGTTATTGTAAGGCTTCTGCAGTTTTTCAATAAAAAAAGTTCTGCAATCATGTGGAAGTTGTGTTTATGAATGCCAGGGCCAACGCTGTGTTAAGTTACCGTCGATGAACCTGAACCTTCCAAGTTAGTGTATCTTTTCAGTTTTAAGCATGCATAAATAAAACCAGAAACGTGTTGTCGTTCACGTTGCGGTTCAGTCAAGGTCATAGGATAGGTTTTTTGTTTCAGTTAAGCTACTTCCTGTAAGTGCGCGAGGACTTGGCCACGATTGCATCCGTGGGATGGCACGGAAGGAATGGATCGTGGGCGAGATTCTCGGGCATACTGTTGCTATCTGAAAAAAAAGGAAAAACTGAAAAGACGCAATGTTTGCGCGTCGCAAAAACTCCTCTGTCTCAGCTGTGTTTCAGAGATTTGTTCTGTTGCGTTCTTCCACCTCGCGTGCGTGTGTGATCCTGGGTTCAGTCCCAACATTTGGCACCAGAGCTAGGTTCCACGGAGGCGGAGCACGGCGGCGAAGATTGGAGTTGTGGCGGCGGTGATCGGCGATGAGTACTTCACCGAAGAAGGACGACACCAGCGGAGGCGGTGAAAAGTACACGCCGCCCCCGAAGAGAATCGGCGACGAAGGCACGGCGATCGTGCAGCGCACGCCGGCGAGGTCTGGTGGTGTCCCGATCCAGTACCCCATGCTCACGGACTCTAACTATGGTCTGTGGGCGATGAAGATGAAGGTGCTCCTCCGTCCGTTCGGTGTGTGGCCGGCGTTGGAGGGCACAGCCGAATTCGATCAGGTCAAGGACGATGAGGCGTTCGCTGCTCTGTCACAGTCCGTACCCGACCCGGTGATGATGGCTGTGGGCGATTGTCAGACGGCCCACGAAGCCTGGGAAGCGATCCGGCGCATGCGCGTCGGCGAGGATCGCGTCAAGAAGGCGCGGATCAAGCACCTCAAGAGGCAGTTGGATCGGATGGAAATGGGCGAAGGCGAGTCCATATCGGCGTTTGCCCAGAAGATGATGACTCTTGTCGGGGAGATCCGGTCCCTCGGCGAGAAGATCACCGATGAGACGATGGTCGAAACCCTGTTCAACGCCGTTCCTGCGCGGTTCGGCGACATCATCAACACCATCGAGCAGTGGGGCGATCTCTCGACGATGTCCGTGGCTGAGGCTGTCGGACGTCTGGCTGCCTTCAAGGAAAATCAGAGAGGCCGGTGTCGTCAGTCTGGCAGCAGGGACGATCAGCTCATGCTCATGACTCAGGCTCTGGAACAGTTGATGAAGGGTAAGAAAAGCGCGCCAGGTGCATGCAGCAGTGGTGGCAGACGCGGCCGTGGCGGCGGCCGCGGGCGTGGCCGTGGGCGTGGTGTCCGCACCGACGGTGGGCAGGCTGGACGCGGCGAGAGCAACGACCGCGGCAAGCAAAAGAAACATAGAAAATTTGACATAACCAAAGTAAGGTGCTTCAATTTCAATGAAATGGGCCATTTCAAATCTGACTGCCCAGAGCCAAAGAAGGAAAATGCAAACTTTGTTCAGGCAGAAGAGGAAGAGGACCCAGGTCTGCTGATGATGGAAACATGTGAGCTGACAATCTCGGAGTCGGTACCAACAGAACAGGTGCTGCTCAATGAAGAGAAGGTTGTCCCAAAGTTGTCAGGTGACTGTGACATTGCTTGGTACCTGGATACAGGGGCGAGCAACCACATGACAGGAAATGCAGAGAAGTTTGCCGAGTTAGATAGGTCTGTTAAAGGGAAAGTGCGGTTTGGAGATGGCTCAGCTGTGCAAATCTATGGGCGCGGTTCAGTGCTGATGCAGTGTCTCACCGGAGAGCATAGAGTCTTGTCTGACGTCTACTTCAAACCGCAGCTGAAGAACAATATCATTAGTCTTGGACAGCTCGATGAGAATGGGTGCAAGTACACCGGAGAGAATGGAATCCTCACGGTGTGGGACAGGCAGAAGAAAGTGTTGGCCCGTGTGCCCAGGAGTGGGAACAGGATGTACATCCTGCACATACAGCCGGCAGAACCAGTGTGCCTGCTGGCTCATGCAAAGGAGGATGCTTGGTTGTGGCACATGCGTTTTGGGCACTTAAACTTCAGAGCGCTGCGGTCACTGGCAGCAAAGGAAATGGCCGAGGGACTGCCCAAAATTGAGCAAGTTCACCAGGTGTGCGATGGCTGCATGATAGCCAAACAAC